CCGTCCCCAAATTTTACCGGATAAAATCCAGGTCAAGTGTCCCCTAACTTGCTGCCCGGATTCCCGAGTGTCAGGTTCGGAGACACTCGGTTAGAGAACCACAACCTTTCATAGACATACAAGTCCTTGTACCCTACATACACGATGAGACGAATTTCAATGTTACAAGTCGTAAAGATAATTAGTGAATATATATAACAATAATATACGTCACCACATTCATTGATTCATTAAGTGAAAGTTCGAACGTAACTCCATCCCGGGAGCAACACAAATGATTCATAAGTTACACACATGAAACATGAAGATGGGTGGTATAAGTCTCCATTAGACCATGAAAATGAAGCGATGTAATAACATTATGTAATATGCAAATGAAACACCTAATTGTTATATAGTTCACAATTAGGGGGGTCCCCCCCCCCTGGGGAAAAATGGCCCCAAAAGGTGACCTCGATTTAAAGTGTACCGCGATGGGACCGTCAGATATGTTTCAAGTAAGTTGATCGACGTGGAATCGAAACCTTGTTGAAATTACCTAAGTTTAAGTAATAATTTAGGTCATAGAAATAAGACTTATACCTGGTAGACGTGTTATTAAATGACACGATGAAATATGATATAACTACTATTATAAAAGATAAAAGAACTCGTGAAAACTTACGTCCTAAACGGACATTGTGTCAATGGATCTGAACATTGAACATGAAAATGAAGTTCATGTTCTAGAAAAACCATGAAAAGTGGAGACGAATATATACTACACATAATACAAACCGTCGTCTGACCGTTACCACGGATTCGTTTGCTTATTATTGGAATACAATAAAAATGCATTTCGTAACCACTCGACTCATGGTTTGTCAACCCTCCAAACTGAAATCCACGCTTAATCGCTTTGTTAACACGTTTGCTATATTATTCCTGACAGAGTCTTTAACTTATAAACTCTCTCAAGAATAAAGAACATACGTTAATTTTTTTGTTTTCAGATGTAAGACCTAAAGTAATTTTAGTTTGGACTTTTGTAACGTTCGGAAAATAAAAAATTATAACGACTAATACCGTAAGTCAATCTTTGAGTATAAGGATCAGGATATAACTTAAGTACTTTTTCCATAATGATCATCCCACAAGTGCTTATAACTTTAGCAGATATGAGCTTGTGGCGTTCCCAAAGGAACCGGACTTTTGTGGAAATCGAACCGAAGTCATTTATTTATGTTCATACACTTCTGACGACTAGACTGCCGACAAGGTCTCCTGGCAGTACTGTGGGTAGGTAGTCCCTCCCATTCCTGGTTTTCTAAGAGTTCTCGTTTCGACAAGTGTCACGTCAAGTCGTGTAGTGTTTTCCAGACAACCTCCCCCTTTACACCGTCCTTTGCGACTGTGGTCCTCTACTGGCGTCGAATTGTCGAACACCTCTCTCAGCGAGGTCTTAAACCCCTTCAAGTTTCTGTCACCTGACTTCGACCTCAGGTCCATAGGTTTTCAGTGACAGTCTGCTACAGGGCCCTTTACCCGATTGTTATCGGCATAAGGGTACCAGTTCGGTGAGACTTTGCAGTCTGTGCCTTCTCCGCAGACTGAACCCATTCCTTGCTTGTGACCTGTCACGTGTCACCAAGTTTCAGAGAAAAGTCTGCTTTTCGTTCAAACATAACAGTAAACCTTCAGTCGCTTGTCTCAGACCCTCTTTCCGACTTCTTTCTGTTTTTAGGGTTCAACGAACTTTAGGTCACCTTCAAGGGTGTCAGTCGCTGACCAAACCCCTTACAGTCGACGACCACACAACCAGGTGACCACAAAGTAGTTCGGGTCCATTTCGTCGACACTATGGTTCGTCTAAAATCTCGTGATGTACGAAGGCAGACGACTTTTCGAGATACCTCTACTCCTTAAGTAAAAGGTCGTACTAGGACCGTTGGACGGGGTGTACGGTATTGGGGGTCATTGACCACATGAACTGGTACCGCTAACAGGAGCTAACCGGACGTTTAAGGGACTGGACTTGCAGGTATCTCTTATACACCCCCATAACACTTCTTCTTCGACTTTCTGTCGGTCTGGGTTGTTACGATTACTCGATTTTCCAGGCGATAACTTCGAGGACCCGTAGGTATTTGTGGAGTCGTTTACGGTGTCCGACTAACGGAGGTAACCGGTGCGGCGTAACTCGTCATTAGGCACGTTTTCCTAGTGGTTGGTTTCATGACTCACGTAATTACCTTAAAAGTTTACAAACTAACAAAACGACAATATTAGAAAAAAAATGAACCAGCTCCTTGGATAAGGATTAAAAAACTCTATCCCTAAAAACTCAAAAGAATTCGGACATACGGTATTAGTCGTTATAATTCTTATTATTATTCCGAACTTATAAAGTCAACTAAACATTACTTAGGTCTTAATACTGTAACAAAAAAATTAACGTTAATGTCTTTTTAATTTCTCCTGAAATAGTGTTATAAGATAAAAGACCTGTCAGGACATGTGAGAGTCGAATTTTAAATTTTAGTCAATTTTTCTAGTTCAATCTCGTTGTTCTATATAATAAGGTAATAATACTAGTATGTATATGTGCCATAAAACATATGTTTCTTTTCAAGTGTAGCACCATCCTGTCCCGGCATAGGTCCTACAAGGATTTATGGCCCAGGTTTTTATACAAACTCCCCCGTGTGGGGGGTTCGTTAAAAACCCTAAAATTACTAGATCAACCGACAGAAAAATTTAGCTGACACCCCCAGTGTGTTACCTATTTAATATAAACTATAGTTTGGTCACAGTCACCCGACTGTTACAGTCGTAGTTAATAAAAAGTTTCACAATTACGTATTCTTAGTCAACTAAACAGATCGATAATTACTGAGACTGTATTTCTTCCCTCGGATTTTACTGAGTGTTTTGTAACAGTTGTAAGTAAAGGTGTACAGAGAGAGGAAAGGTATTGGACGGGGGAGAGAAGGTAGAAGAAATAGGATACAGAAGGAAGGACAAGTAATAGAGAGACAGGAGATGAGAAAGAGAAACAAAGTTAGGAGAGGGGAGTAACAACTGAACAACGAGCGTGGTGCCCTTGCGCAAGGCACCGGACCCCCCTTCTCCCATTGCTCCCTGGGTGCTGTACAATAGCTGCCCACTGCTCCTAGTACTAGACTCCTGGTACTAGGATCAGTTCAAAGCAGAGAACACATTTCACTGTGTGTGCTGTGTGCTCTGCATGTGTGACCATTAAAGAGGGTTTTCATCCCTCTCAATACAGAAGTTCAGAACTACCTTTTTTTTAATGCATAAGTTATCTCTTTTCTTTCTGAGATGAATTTATTTGTATGCATGGTCCTTGTTTAAATAAATACATAAATTATATAATTAAATGATACCTATGGTTGCCAGGTCAGTTTTGACCGGGTTTTGACAGACAGCTCGCTGAAGGCGGGCTCCTGATGACGGAGCCACGCCTCCTGCACTCACTCCTCTACATCCGTGACGGGGGGTTGCTGCAGCTAAGCTAGCAGATTAGCTCACGGGAGCTTTGGGAGTTCTCACATTTCACTGACGGTAGCGGGTCATAAAATCAAGGTAAGATCCTAAAACAATCGACATTATTAATGGATTTATTTTTATTATTTCTTAGCGGGGTAATATGTTGGTGAATATATTTTAAAATCTGTGTATTGCTAGTTAATGTTTACTGGTTGTCACAGGAACTAGCTTAGCCTGCTTAAGCTAACCTTGCTCACTTTGTTTAGCGCTAGCTGTCTTCTACTTCATAATGAGGATCATTGGATTGTCTCTATCCTCTTTTGAGTAGCCTTTAGATGCTAAACGGAATAGCTAAATTAGCCAAGAGCTCGCCAACAATATCTAGCCGGTTTAGCTATCTTATCTCTCACCGCAACAGGGAGAGTATTGACATGAAATAAGGTGTTGGCTGCAGGCCTTTGCTCCAACTGTTTACATGTTGTTCAATGCATTTTATTCCAACAGAGGAGAGATATCCAGAATCAGAATCAAGTTTAGCTCACGGGAGCTTTGGGAGTTGTCACATAGCTGAGATATATTGTCTTGTTTCATGTTATGGCAACACTATCACACAAAAGAGCTGTAGGTTTTCTGTTAGGCTTTCTATTATCTTCCATTTTGCTGCCTGACCTGTGAATACTGAGTGGGATTTCTAAGGGATGTGTGCCTCCTTGTCTGTCCATCTCTCCACAGAAGAAGGATTACACACGGCTCAGTGCACCATTAAAGCCCTCTCAGCACACGTTTTGCTGACACACTTACTATAAGCTATGTATGTATTGTGTGTATGTCCTATTTCTGAAATAAACCCTTTCACAGCGACCTCCGATAGCTGTCGATCTGGATTACTATGCTCCATTGACTGAAAACTGTGCTAAAGCTATTGGGTCATGAAGCTATGGTTCATCTCTAGATGTGTTATCTATGAGGCTTTAAAGATGAAGCTAATGGTAGTTCTGTGTTTCTGTCAACTGAAATGCAAATGATCAGTCAAATGACCCGGAGCAAAGGCATCTGTCGACCTGAGGAATGGCTGTGACAAGTCAAATAAGAATGTGAAGTTCGCTTTTGGGACCTCTGGATGCAAAAAATGCAGTGATATAAACAAATGTTTTGTTTGCCTGACAAAGCAGATGTCTACAATTCAAATGTAGAATGGAAAGAATAACCTTTTGTTTTTGTTGAATCCTAGCATTGTGACCTGTTCTAAGTTGTATAATTAGTGAGTTGAATCTGTGCCCTAACACATCATTCCTGCTGTGTTCAGGTGCGATAATGACGACTTTGGACGACAGGATTCTGGGGGAGAAGCTGCAGTACTACTGCAGCAGCAGCGAGGACGAAGGCAGCGAAAACGAGGATGAGGAGGGAGAGAAAAAAACCATCCGTGAAGCTAACGTGGAGGAGCCGGAGATCGACTACAGCCCTGATGGAAGTGCTGTCAACACAGGTAATAACACAATCACACATACACACCAAAAACAGTCCTAATAAGACTTCTGCATGATTTCATATTAGAAATGCAGTGAGAGTGACAGTGGCTGTTCTCCGTCAGGACCAAAGGGGGTCATCAATGACTGGAGGAAGTACAAGCAGCTTGAGGTGGAGCAGAAACAGGAGCAGAAGAAAGAGATGGAGAGGCTGATCAAGAAACTGTCCATGACCTGCCGCTCCGACCTCGACCAGGAGAAAGACAAACTGAAAGAGAAGGAGCTGCAGGACAAGATCAAAGGCAAAGTAAGTATGAAGAAGAAAAAAGATCCACATAGGAAAGTAAAGCCTGTGAGGACGGTTATTTAAACGTCTTGTTCCTCAATCCATACCTGCAGTCGGTGAGTGACTCCATCTAAAAACTGGGTCACTCTGGATAATGGAGCACCTGCTGTTTTTGAAAAGGATATATATAGACTAGATGTTAATTAGAAACAACCTGATTAACACAGTGGAGTCTGCAACTCCATTCTTTAGGTTCTTAAACAGCCTAATATGCATGAGTACATTTAGGGACACATATCACTTTGTAAGCTAAGCTGGTTGTTCAGCCATATTTACTGCACAGACCTATGAGCTGTATAAACTGGGGGTGGGTCAGGGTAAACATTTTCAAATCGGATTGATGTTGTTCCTAACACTGCTCTGAATTTAACACTAGGTGTCTCAGACCCCATTTACACGGGAACGCAAACGAAACGCAAACAAACCAAATTCGATATCAAAAAAGTCTTCCGTTCACACGGAATCGGCTCAATAAACGTGTGTCCGTCCACGTGAGACCGCTTGACCCACTGGAGACGCAGCAGTACATATGCCGGGCCTGTAAGTGGCGCTGTACTTCCGCCACAAAATACACCAAAAGCAGCGAAGAAGACCCCTGAGCATGGTTGCCTGGTTGCCCTTCTGTTTATTCTCCGCAGTGGATTTAGCAACATGTAGTTCATGTAGTTCTCCATGTCTACTTGTTGCTGATGGTTGTGGTAGAGGAGCTGTAGATTTTGCACTAACATCTGTAGCATGGTCAGTAGCTCCTGACAGTAGCTACTGACCATGCTACAGCAGTGAGCAGCAGAGGTGGGGAGAGGTGGGGCTATGGCTTCATCGTTATCAGGAAAATGATCGTATAGGACGTACACACTGAGCCGTTTGCCCCCCGGAGCGTTCCGTCCGCAGATCTATCCACCTTGGGAACCGTTAACGCTTTAGGGGTCCGTTTCCGCATTTCCGTTACGGCCTCGTGTGAATGAACCGGCTATACGAAAGAGAAAAGTAGCAGACACAACCCGTTTCGTTCCCGCGTAAACAGCACATCACTTGACTCAACAGCCAATCACAAATGGCACATAGTGAAACAGTGAGAGCCAATAATGATCCTGTGGTGACTCCAGTCCACCTTGTTTTTTGGTTTGCGTTCAATGTGGGCTTCAAATCCCAAGATGTCTCACCCCACAAAACACATGAACTTTCCAGAACACAAACAAAACGTCCAGCGACTTCCTCCCTCCAAACTCTTTTTTTACCCCCGTAATATTGCAAAAGGCTTGTCAGATACTCGCGTCTGCATTTGTTCTTTCCTAAATAAACAAAATATAATTTCATCACGTTGTCATATTGCTCAATACCAATGCCAAACAGGTTGGATTAGGTGGTAAAGGTTGTTGATGTTGGCTTCTTTTTAATTTGCAAGAATGATAGATTATGGTGGTTGAGCTCGTTTACACCAAATCAAGTCTTCATATTCTTTGCAAGAAAACATATTTCCCAATTGGTCAAAGTGTTCCTTATCCTAACTAAATGTGTTCCTCTCTGTCTGCCCTATAGATGACCGTGCAGGAGTACAACATGCTGCAGGAAGGACAGGATGACGAAGACTTTCTCCAGCATTACCGCATGCAGCGCATCGAGGAGATGCGGCGCCAGCTCTGCCACGGCAAGCGCTTCGCTCAGGTCTACGAGCTGAGCTGTGGAGAGGAATTCCTGGAGGCTCTGGACAAGGAGGACAAGAGCATCCTGGTGGTGATCCACATCTATGAGCCCGAGGTGCCAGGCTGCGAGGCCATGAGGGGCAGCCTCATGTGCCTGGCTCAGGAGTACCCGCTGGTGAAGTTCTGCAGCGTGCGCAGCTCAGCCATCAGCACCAGCGCTCTGTTCAGAGACAGCGCTCTGCCCGCCCTGCTCGTCTACAAAGCAGGGGAGCTGATCGGGAACTTTGTGCGGGTCACGGATCAGCTGGGGGAGGACTTCTTTGCCGTGGACCTGGAGGCCCTGCTGCAGGAGTACGGCCTTCTGCCCGACAAGCTGCCCAACATCCAGAAGATCATCCGCAACGGAGCCATCTTTCAGACCATCGTTAGCGACGAGGACTCGGACCTGGATATAGACTAGACCCGTAGTGGCTAACATGCACGATCTGCTTGAGAAACATGCGCTCAGTCTGCATGGACTATAGATAATATAATGTATGTGGACCCCTGTAGTGATGACGGACCGAGCCAGGACTACCCTGTTACAACTCGCACAGCAACACAACAGAAGCATTTAAAAGTAAGCGCACAGAAAACTATGTCTGCCACCAAGGATTCTTTCACTTTTGACTAATCTGCTGATAATCATTTCAAATAATCCATAGATCTATAAAATGGTAGAACATAGAGAACATGCCCTTTTCACACACACAGGTTTATTTAAATGTCTCCCTTTGTCAGGTAAACCCACATAAATTCACTTAAATATGATATAAAAAAAACATAGAAAAGCAGGAAATCTCCATATTTGAGAGGCTGAAAGCGGCATTTTCTACAATTTTGGCATGAATTGAACTATATATTATCAAAATAGTTGGAGATATATTTTCAGTTTTATGCTGCAGCTTTACACAGAATATCAGTGACCACTCCATGGTAACCATCAGTTATAATGAATAAGAGCAGATCCTAGCCATTGTTAGTATCTAGGAATGATGATCCATGCTGAGAATGATGTGGAAGTCAATGTTTTGTTTGTGCTGTGAATGTCAACTATTTATTCATTGTGGTGTAACACATTCCCTGTTTTCCTTCATGTGCATCTTCAGTATAATAAATGTGTCACTCTGTAGAATACAAACCCTGCAGCACCAACTGACTTTTGTTAATTTTATAACTTTTATATGTGCTGATCATTTCAAGTAGTGCGAAGAATAAACATGTTTGGACCCACTGTCTGTTTTAGCTTTTATTTATCAGATTTGTCCTGGCTAGGAATGAAGGACCATTCAATAAAAAGGAGCTCAGGGATGTTAAAGCTCCACCACTCGATATGTGTCCACAGCACCTGTGGCCTGTACTTCGAAGCCAGTTCAACAGACCCTGGATATGTTTGAGTTACCCGGCTTAACTAACCCTAACAAACGAGATCTCGCTAAGCGGTCCTACGACGCTGGTTATCAACTCGGTAACTCATCCCAGGGTTTCTCTGTCCGGCTGAGTGCACGCTCACATGAAAGGGGCGGGGTTAGCAACATTTGACCAATCACAAACATGGAGAAGAGTACTGACCATAG